CCCTCGACCCCTTCCCTCCCCCGTCACGAATTAGCGCCGCTTGAACAGAGAAGCGTCCATTAAGAGGCAGCCGGGCGGCAAACCAAAGCCAAACACTTCAACACTCATTTCCGCAGCGGGGCGTCGCGGGGCGGGACCTGGCGGGGCGGGGCTGGGCTGGGCTGCGCGGTGGGGCGCGGCGCCTTAATAATTTCTTTATTCCTCAAATTCCCGTCGTCGTGGAATGACTCATCACCCCACGGACGGCCGCCACAAATCACACGACACCTCCTCCCGCTCCTCCTTCTCTTTCTCCTCCGTCTTCTTCTCGGGCAGAACGAGTGCGCGCCATCTTCGTATGTTTTTCCTCTCTACTCGCAGCAGTAGGGCCGTGTACAGACCCTCGCCGCGGTGCGGCGCGCGCGCTGGGCACTCCGCGGCGGCAGGGCATAGCAGGGCACCGGCGAGAAGGAGAATTGATTATTATGCGTCTAAAATATGTTCGCGCCGCCGCTGACAGCGGTGGCGACAACTCCTACCGACTTTCCTTCTTTTTCTTCTCTCCCTCCTCCTGCCTCAGCACTCGGCCCTCCTCGGGTCCCCGCTCGCGACATTCAGCTGTCACACGCTTTCCCCTCCCCCTTTCCCTTCCCTTCCCTTCCAGCGCTCTCTCCTCTCCTCACCGCTCACCGGAGTTTTTGAACGCGTCGCTGCTTATTTGAACCCCGTCGAGTAAAGAGGAGGAGGAGGAGGAGGAGGAGAGGACATTCCTGCCGGTCCGGGGCCTTCTCCGTGTCCCGCCTGTTGTGCTCAACCCACTCCGGTACGTACTCCGGGGCCCGGACCTGCTCCGGCGACACGTTGAGATGAAACTGATACGGGTCCCCGGAGCCGGGCTGGCGGCCCGTCGCCCGGCCAGGGCTCGGCCTCGGCTCCGGGTCCCCCCCATAAATAAAGGGCCCAGGCCTCCCGAGGCCCGCGAGTCGCGACGCCAACACTCAAATAGTGCATATAAGGGCCGCCCCGCCCGCCCCGCCCGCCGGGGGAAAGTGGTCGCCGACGACGTCCTCGTCGTCCTTGCGTGGATTCGTTCGGTTGTTCCGGCTATACGATGTCTCGTATTGGCCGCTGCAAGTTTTGTTCTCTCTGGCGCGAGTGTCGTAGGGTGCTTAGGGTGGCCACTCGGGTCGGCCGGGCGAGGCGTTGCGGTGGCCACCCTAGAGGTTTGGCCCGGGCGACACCCCAGAAGAGAGGTCCCCGCTGCCCCCTTCCCTCCCCGAGGCCCGGTGGGCCAAGCACAGCGCGCCAGATAATGATCTGTCCTTTGTTTTCTCTCTCGGCCAGCAGCACACGCCTTTTTCTCTTTTCTTTATTTCGGATGGGAGGAGTGAAGGAGGAGGCGGCGGGTGAGGGGGCGCGGGGCGCGGGGGAGAGGGTCCGAAGGTTTTGGTGCGACCTGCGAGGGACGCGGCGAGGGGGTTTTAGGGGCTGATGCTCTCTATGTCGGACTTATACTGCGCCCGGGCCGGCCCGGGCACCTGTCCTCTATTCATCCCCGGTCGCCCCTTTTTAACAAGCCCCGGGTTTATACTCCCCATCACTCTTATTGGGGTACCTCCGCGTTCCTCCGCCACTCCACAACCGCGCTCTTTATAACGCTGTTGTCTTTATTTTCACCTCGTGCGTCCCTCTGTCCGCCCGCCTGTCTGCCCGGTCCGCCCGTCGGTCGGTCGGCCGGTCGGCGCGGCCTCACCTGGTCCGCTCGCCCACCTGTGCTATCGGGGATCCTGATCTGTCTCCCTGGTCTCCGGATACATTACTCCGTTGCCATGGTGACGCCCTGCACGGCCTCCCCACACGTTGCCGGGGCCGTATATATGCCGCGGGGAGGCGAGCACGGCGACGTCGCTCTTGGTCTGCTCCCGTTGCCGGGGCCGACTGCAGCGGACCGTGGCGTGGCGTGGCGTGGTGTTGCGGGGTGGGGCGCCAAATTTGATTACGAGGAGCATTACCGCTGCTCTGGTCGGGACGCCCTGGGGTGGTGGAAAGTGATT